TCTGGTTTCACGTGCCTCCGTACTCCGCAATTGAGCGATTGGCTGCAAACGACGTTTTAGTTGATAAGTCTCATGTAAACGAGTTGACCCACCCGCATGGCGTACGGAACACTGAACAGAAGGCACAATGGCAGGTCACTGTTTGGAAGATCTCCAGCAAAATATCGACATTTCGTTAGGTCTGGCATTACTGAAGGAACTGAAGAATGAGCATATTTATTCGATCCATATGCAGTAATTGGGCGGTATCTGGCACCCTCTTCAATGGAATGAAATAAGAAGTAGTCGCAAAAGGAGAAGAATGGGTACAAGCGGAAGAATAGGAAGAATTGCTAGACGAGGAAAAGGAAGTATCAGAGGTAGAAGAAGAAAGAGAAGCAAGCGAAGAAAAATAAATGTTATATGAACAGCAAAATTAAGGTGCAGTGTTAGCACTGCTTGTTGACTGTTCTATGCATTATTATTATATACTGGAAATAATGCATGAGTTGATTGTGTTGAAGATGACATTATATTTTGGCAAGTCACAGACAGGATAAAGCACATAAAATTTTTAATTAAGAATGTTAGAGTAAGTGGTTGTGGTAAGATGTTCTTAAAATTTTTATGCCTTATAGCATATTTAATTAAAATGATTTTGTCGTTGTCGGTACAGCTTTACTGCTAAAATTAATGAGAATGAACGCAAAGAAAGCCGAAGTCAGATTAGAAAATTTTTCTTTCATTTCAGAAAAATAAACCTGCAGACTTGGAGGTCTTGTTTTTCTTAATGATCTAGCCACTTGTCAGAATTGCAGACTGCTTAAGTGTCTCGATGTCCGCTAATCTAAACATTTCTCATTTTGATATCAGGTGATATTTTTTAGATAGGGAAATGAAAAATTTGTCATCGATTAGTTAACTCTGCTGTGGAATGTGTTCATCATTGATTTTTTTCCGTCCCTACTTGGAATCCTACGTTAACAGCTAGCGGCGCTATAACGCTTGATTGCTTCCTTGCAGAAGATCGAATTATTCCAGCTTTCCGTGTCTGATCATTTCAGATATGCTCATAAGATCAACTAATAATGCTGATACGGTCATAACAGCTGATCTTCCAAATGCGCAAATGCGCAGTAACTCGCCGTGTAATCAATACAGTAAGCACCTGATTGATATCAGTGAGGTGAATATAACCATTAAGGTATTCATTATTCTGTTTGCTGTGAAAATTCTTTACGTGCTTTTCAAGGGTAAGAATTTCGCGCAATCTTCTTCAGAATGTTCACTCGGTTCCCATCGTTATAAATTATCCCGTCGAGGCTCCTAAGGTGATTAACTTTTCAGTGCCTTATTTTGATGACACGTACCTTTTCTTTGTTTCGTCTGGTTTCTCTGATGTGATTGCTTCACTTTAGATATGGGTCGTTATTTCACATATAGGAGGAGAACTTGGCACGAATAAATGATTAATTATGCGATACAGATGATTTAGAGTGGTTTGTCCCTTGTATTTTGCAGTCTCTGAGGGGTTGGATTCTTATACGGGCCATTCTGTTAAGCAAAAACGTTAGCGATTTGCTCATTTGGACCTGATACATAGGGTTTGGTGATAATCAGTAAATAAAATCCGATCGATAATCGGTATTCTTGAAAGAGGTTACCGGGAAAGGATGAAAACAAGAAAAGCATCGCAATCAGGAACCTTAGTCCTCATAGAGACTCATCATTTTCCCCTTCCGTTTTGCTTCCTCCTGAAATGCAAATAAACGCCAATCATGTAAATTACGGCTCTCTCTAATAAGTAATTTGTCATTGCGCGATGAATCCGGTTCCAAAAGATAGCCCTTTACAAGTTTGAACAATTGGTCAGAGTTGATCATTTTGATTAGCTACTAGCTTGAATGACAGTACTATTGCATGCCTTGCTGTTCACTCAGGCTTGTTTTTCCTAATTAAGGTTGAATCTTGCTATTCTAGCTAGTCCATGCTTAGTTGATGAAAATCGACTTCTGGTACGAATGAATACGAGAATACTTTGCTTCAGACCTTTCAGGTTATTGACCATCATCATTGATGACTGCACAGATAACGGAACTGACTGCTGTCGGAAGGTAAATGCTCTAATGGAAGACAGCATTCCAAGTGGCAAGAATGAAAATTCATGTTTGCTAATGTTTTGGGACGATTCATTTCCTAAGATAGCGTATTTCGGTCGTGCCTTGGTGATCATCCGGAAAACTAGAGAATGTACAAAAACTTGGCTTATTCGTAAAAAGCGCAAGCAGACTGGTCAGTCAGGTGATTGACCAGTTTCTATAGGGTTTGAACCAAAGGGCAAACATTATCCACCCTGAAGAATACCAGTGAGATACGAGCCTGGAGTAGGTGCAAGTTGATCATCTGATTGACCCATTTGCTTGAACTGTGACTTTTCTTACATTTTTCAGGTTTCTAAATTCGTCTCTTAATGTACGGCGATTCTCTTCGATAACCTTAAGTTGCTTTCTTAGTAACTGTTAGTTTTTCTTGGCCAGGTTACCAGAAGAAAATCCAGGCACTGTGTAGACTTTTTGACTGGGCAAAAAATGAGCTGTGCTGCCTAAATTGATACGGTGCTTGAATTCGATGTAATGACTTGCAGATTATGAAATCGAATTGTTCAGATTCAGTCAAAATAGAAGGAAGAATAGAACGTTTGAAATAGAAAGAAGCAGGCCAAATCTCGAACCGTTGATTTCATGGACATTTGTCACATACGCTAGACATTCTCGTTTCGATTGTAATATCATATCATTTTTGCGTTCTCTACCTTGGCGAAAGTTGATGGTAGAAATTTTTTTTAAATGTGAAAGTGGCGTCCTCAGAGTGACACGGATCAGTTCAAAAAGTTGTTTCATTCGGGCAAATGTAGTTGAACTGATTCGAGTTTTATACCCCTAACTTATGTTAAGGTACATCTCGCACTGCATGTTGTGGCTTTTGTAAACAAGCATTAAAGAAAATTGCATGCACATACGCGAATCTGTTACATTTAGATTTTTCTTGTGCATTTGCACTGCAAGAATTCCAGGACATGAATGCTTTCCGAATGACCGATCAGTTGATGAACGAATGTGCAGCAGTAAAGGCCAAAGAGCTTATGTCGGTAAGTACATTTAAAATTGTTTATATTTTAACATCAGACTCGTCTGCCGCAGTTTAGACGCGCAATCCGGAAGAACTTCCTCTGTCTGATTCGTTTGTTGAGTCTTACTTGAGCGCTTACGTTTCTGATCCAGTCACAACTAGTATCGACGAGGTGAAGCAACGTCTACAGCATGAATCTGATCTAGCGGCGTGGTAAGTAAAACAGTTTTTGTAACGTTGCAGTTTTGATGAGTGGCTGTTTTCATTCGGTAGCACCTGTAACAGTTTTCAGCAATCAGTCATCGGTGTCTCGTTTCCTGACTGCGAGCAACAACCAACATACGGTTTCCTGTGATGGGGTGAAGTACGGTACATTTCTGGCCATTGCGGTTATCACTTACACCTGTTATGAGCGCTGAATCAGTGGGCTAGTGAAGAAATAGCACTCTGGAATGCAAGGGCTACTTGCACTTTTCAGATAGTTCTGTTAGGAAAAGGAGATGAGTTACAGATCCGTTGCACCTCTGTTCCATTAGCATATCAGCTGCATCAGATGGGTTTATCACAACTTTCGGCTAACGAGCGTTAAAGTACAGAACGCTATTCTCAGCTATTCATATACGGCAGCCGTCAGATGATAGGTCTGATCATCATACTACTTACTAGGACAACAATTTCAGACCAATAAACATAACTAGCTTGATATCTTGACCTGAGTCTTTCCTCTACAATGCTACCTTTGTTTTCGCCATTATCAGCACTGTTCCAGAGTAGAAAGTCAAAAAAAACTGTTTAATGGCAGCAGGCAAACTCCGTTGTTAATAGGAAATTATTGGTTCGGTGGATCCGTCGGGGCTTTTCTTTGCACTCGAATCGGCATCCGAGATTGCTGCTGAATGTTTTGTAAAACTGACACAGTGGGACAGGTGTTCGTATTCCGACTGGTTCAGGTAATTGAAGAAGATTTTTATCATCGTTTGTCCGTACCCAATGTTGCTATGCCATCGACTGGCTCACTGAGCAAATGCTGTAGCACTGGTAGATCCGTGTTGGTCTTTCTGCATTCATCAGTCTGTCTTATGCAACGGACTTCGCCCTTTTTCCAGTGTTCTTTCCAATTATTTTGCCAGCGTTCAGCAGTACCTCGAAAATTTGGGTCTGTTAAGTTTTTTTTGCAAAACACAAGATGAAGGATAGAACCTGGGATGGAACGGGCGCGACATGGGGTCAAACATGACGTAGTTTTCCGCATGTTTTTTTGTATGGCGTGTTCCCCTTTCGTGCCTTGGTCACTGGCTTTTCTTTTGCATCTCTGAACGATTTTTGCATTAGTGCGAGCTTGCAACAGTATGATGATTAGTTGCAGTTCCCAGTAATGGTCAAGCATGATAATTGGAAATAAATATTTGCTATGCGAACTCATATCCTTCGTCACAAACCGTACTCAACCTTGCACTAGTACCAAAATCGTTCAAAAGTGCACTGGAAAAAGCCACCACTCTGGCACCAAAACAGAACTCGTCATCCGAAAGAATGGCAGGCAACTACTCCAGGTTTAACCTTGCCCACTGGTAGCGTTAGATGCGAGATCGTTACGCATCTTGCTCCCGGTTTAATCTGCGGTTGCGCACTTACTGAATGCCAACTAAACTATATAGTTGATGAAATAAAATAATCTTTTTTAACACGCTAATATTTCTAAAATTTAATCGAAAATCAGTGCCTAGATCTCCTTGAAAACTTTTTTAATAGTCCCTACTACATTAAAAAATCTTTCTTGTTTGTGTGATGATATACATATTTGGATTAAACGTAAATATAAATCAGTTTTTTCGTGGTTCTAAGCATGGTCAGCATTCTTGCATATAGATGAGGGATGTTTGTACCAGTACCGTTGTTCTACACTTTACAATCTGTCTGGATTTGATTTAAGTAATGTTGCTTTAGTGGTTACTTCAAAGCGTTGAAGTGCCTAGAAGATAAGAAGTACAGTGAGGTGATATCGGCGTGCACCTGTGAAATAACTGCCGAGGGGGAATTTCTTCACCTGGCGTTGTTGCTTCGTGCCACTTTTTACATACTATACAGTTGCGTAGCAAAGGCAACTGCTGACATCGATTCGTTGTTGAAGCTCTTAGAAAATGAGCCACCGGATGCTCTCCAAACGAAAAAGGTATTTGTGATGTGACTTTAGAATTCACTGTAAGACTCTCAGCCAATTTCTAACCAAATCTGACGAGCTCATATCTGACATTAGTTTATAAGTGTAAAATTTTTCGGGTGATACTATAGTGAAAATTCGAACTATTGTTTCTTACTGCATCATTCACGCTTCTTGTGATTCCTGCATAAGCTTTAAATGCAACATAATATAGTCCTGTGGCATATTCATGACTTACACGGTGCACAAAATCTAACAGACCCATAATAACATATTATTATATGGTTTATTTTTGGAATAACACCATATTATTCTGCATTTGTCATTCGTTATTCTTTGCTGTATGGTTTTGATGCTTTTGTCTTTGATAAGTTTTCGGTAGAAATTTCTGATTGTAATTGTCTCTTCTCTTATTTCTGTCATTATCAACTTCTTATAGAACAAGTTACTTAAAATGAATTAAGATATGCCAAAGCTCTATTCGAAATTAGGGTAACTCGTTTAGAATGTGTAAATTTTATTAAATTTATAAATAGATATTGCAACCACAGCTAGTAAAAATTTCATGTCAGGTGGATTCAGAAGGTCGTTGAATGAGCAGGGCATATAATAATCGATCACGCAAAAACAAACTTGCAGCGCTGGTTCACACAACCTTCGATCTGTTCTCAGCAAATGACCGTTGATACTTCGTTGCATTTAGCGATACCTCAGTTAGGTGGTAGATGCAGTGCCTTTTTAAGGTACTACTATTATGGTGGATATAATTCTGAATAAATAGAAGCGGATGATGCTTACGAGAACGATTTGAGAGTTTAAGAGAGAGGAAGTTGCTTTGATATATGGGCTTACTGTGACGTGGGATAAGACGTTACGGCGCAGCCATTTTGAAACATGCTGTTTTCGCTC